CGTTGATGCGCTACATATTTATTGCAGCTCAAATTTCTTGACACTAAACCCTGAAAAATGTAAATTTACTTCTTTCACAAGGTAGGCTGGCACGATCAGATACGATTATAGCCTGGGTGATGACACCATACCTAGAGCGACTCAGACCAGGGAATTAGGCGTCACATTTGATGTCAAACTAACGTTTAAGAGCCACGTTGATGGAGCTGCTACTAAGGCTTAGCGGATGCTTAGCTTCCTTATGAGAGACACGTAAAATTTTACAAATATTTATGCTATAAGAAGATTGTATTTTGCGTATGTGCATAGCGTTTTAAGCTTCTGCAGCTCCGTTTGGAATCCCCAATATCAAATATATATTATCAGAATTGAAAGGATTCAAAAGAAATTAATAATAATAATAACATTAAGCTTTCAAATGTTTTACAAGTAATAAAAGAGAATATAAAACAGATAAAGCACCGCCAAGAGAAAAAAAGAAAAGAATACAAAGAATGTATATAAATAGAAAAGAAAATTAAATAACTTAGAAAAGTAAACATAAGACTCCATCTCCGAAAGTGATAGTTGAAGAAATTCCTCCACATTATAGAAAGCGCCAGCCATCAGGGTACGCCGTACAACTGTATCGAAGCGGCAATTAGTCATATTTTTTATTGGCAAAGATGATAGGGAATCTGATAATGTGATTTATAACGGGTTTCGTAAAAATGAATATCAGAACTTTTTAGAAATGAGGTTTTAGAGGAATGCACGTAGAGAAGACTCTTTAGGATAAAGATAGAGGATAAGGTAAGTATGTTATGTTGTTGAAAAAGTGGTTTGCAGCTTGCAGTACTATTTACACCTGCTAAAACCCATAATACTTTCTTTTGTTGCATGAAAATATCTTTGGCCGCCGGAGAATTTCCCCAAATCAATATTGCATACGACGCCCTACTATGAAAGTTGGCAAAGTAGGTTGCTCTGACAGTCTCATATCCAGCTATAACCCGTAAATATTGCTACAGCCAGGAATCTTTGAAGATATTCAACATGAGTGTTTCAGCTTAGGTTTGACATAACATATATACCCAGGAATTTAATAAGTTCTTGCTCCCGTCCCTTAATTTTAGTTGTTAATAGTAGTTTTTGCATCTTTTCGACATTAAGTTTCAAACTATTGGCCCCAAACCATTCCGCACCTTCGGCTATAACGACTTCTCATTTATTTTCAAATTCAACTCTATCTTTCGACGTTAGCACAAAAGATGTATCATCAGCATATATATAAATGCCATCAGCTGAGATGTTAAAGGATGTTGTGACCTTTGACAAGTCACAACATCCTCCTTCTCGTCAAACGCACGTGTCACAGCATCAACCAAGCTAGTTAGAGCTAAAGTGGTAGACTTTTGTCCCCGGTAACCGTGCTGAGCTTCATTAAATAATTTGTTATTTTCCATATACTCAATAAGTCTGCTTTTTAATAGAGATTCGAAGATTTTTGAAAAAACAAGAAGTATAGACATAGGTCTATAGTTTTTATAATAATCTGGACTATCCGATTTGAAAACCGGGACCACTTTGGCCACTTTAAGTTGATCAGGAAATATACCGTTTGTAAAGCAACAATTCACCATATTATTCACCAACTGATGTGGGGCCCCTATCCACTCCATCACCATCTCCTAGTTGGGGTTCGAATTCGTATTCTCATCGTTCTGAACCACACACGGCAGGGACTCTGTTAGAGGGATTCTCGTACGATGACAATGAATGCCAAAATTTACAATAATAATATAATATATTGTCTCTTTATATTTATATATAGTTAAGTTATAGTTATAGTAATAAATAGGGCAACCAAAAATATGCAAACGTATATTTTTTTTCATACCCTCCAGAATAAAATGGACTAGATAGAAATTTGTTTCAAATCAATCTATGAAGTTTGAGCCGTATTTGTTAGAGCATATTTTTGCTTATTTTATCTATACGAGCATACATTGCATATTTTCAAATTATATAACATTTTTGGAAATAAATGAATATTTTTAATGCATATTTTCAAAATTTTATTTTGCAATTTGATATAAAGTTACCATAAAGTTATTCAATTCTTTAAAGAATATTAAATTATCGACATTCGAAAAGTTCAGGAAAGTTATCCCAATATGTGCGTGAATATCCTGTATTCAAAACTGATGGTAAGGTACTTTTTTGCAAAGTGTGCAACAAATCTGTGTCAGCCGAAAAAATATTCTCGGTAAAACAGCATCTAGCAAGTTTAAAACACATAGAATTAGAGAAAAAAAATAATGAGAAGAAAACTACTCAGCCTTTTTTTGCTGAATGTTCCACATCCAAATCAAAAGATATTCAATTTGCAGAAGATCTATGTAGCGCACTAATTTCAGCTGATATACCTCTATATAAAATGCGTAACAAAAAATTAGTATCGTTCCTAGAGTCATACACAGAGTACAAAGTACCATCTGAAACTACTCTTCGCACAAAGTATGTTAAGGAACTTTACCAAAATACCATAGAACACATACGAAAATGTATCAACGGTCGCTTCTTGTGGCTCTCAATTGACGAAACCACAGATGCAACAGGAAGATATGTGGCAAATGTCATCATTGGTATTTTGGATAATGATGAGTCGATTGCGAAACAAAAATTTTTGTTAAATACAGCAGTGCTTGATAAAGCGAATCATAGCACTATTGCAAGACATTTCGATGATTCTGTTAAGATTTTGGGTGAGACTTTCAACAGAGATATGATTTTACTCTTTGTATCAGATGCTGCTCCCTACATGGTAAAAGCAGCAAAGGCGATACAAACGTTTTATCCAAAAGTGACACACTTGACTTGTGCTGCACACGGACTTCATCGAGTTTGTGAGCAAATTCGAGGTACATACACTAACATCGACCGGCTTATCGCCAATGTGAAAAAAGTATTTTTAAAAGCGCCATCAAGAGTAGCAATTTTTAAGGAAATAGCGCCTAGTATTGTTCTTCCTCCACAACCGGTAACTACTCGCTGGGGAACATGGATTGAAGCGGCAAAGTACTATGCAACTAATTTCGAAATAATTAGGAATGTGTTTGATGCATTAGACGAAGAGGACGCTGCGTCAATCAAAATTTCAAAGGCCTTACTAAATGACAATACAATAAAATCAGATTTGATTTTCATTGCATCAAATTATGGCTTCCTTTGTGCGTCAATAAAAACATTGGAAACAACTGGGCTTTCGCTTTCTGCACAGGTTGATATAGTGACAAAAGCTCAGGACTTAATTAATGGAATAAACAGTGAAACTGCTAAGCCAGTAAAGAAAAAAATGGATATGTGTATTTCAAAAAATCATGGTTTTTCTATTTTGAAAGAAATTTCTACATGTTTAAGTACAGGATCTACAGAAAATAAAAACAATAAATACACTGTTAGTGAAATACTAGCATTTAAGTTTGCACCTATAACTTCAGTGGAAGTGGAACGAAGTTTTTCAATGTACAAGAATGTTTTACGTGCAAACAGACAAAGCTTCCTTTTTGATAATTTAGGTGAGATGTTTGTCATTTATTGTAATCAAAATTTAAGTTGAATCTGTATTTGTTTTATTATCTATTTCTTTCTATTTGTCTTTTGTATATTGTTCAATATTTTCTAATTGTCTTTTAGTTTAAACATGTCAAACTAATAAATGTCTCGAGATATAAATAGAAATCATTTCTACTTTATTTTGTTTAACTTCGCCTACAGATTTAAAAGACAACTACATTTTAAATTTGATAGGAATATTTGGAAAAGACTCTTTTTTATAGAGCATATTTTCATGTTTAAACAGCATATTTTGATTTTTATACAGCATTTTTTAAGCGCTTAAACTATCATTTTTTGAGCATATTTTTGGTTGCCCTAGTAATAAAGTATTGTTCCTCTTTTCGGAATATATTTTATTCAGTCACACCTATGGTCTTATCAGATAAAGTAAGCTTACCAGAATAAAATTTTTTGGCGCTTATACGGAAAGCCACGCATGTTCCTATCATTATCTCTCCAAGAGCCTGAGGAGATATTCTTATTGAGAATGACAAATCTTGAAAACTTCTCCCAGCTGCTAGAAACCGAAGTGTGGCTCATTTTCCCATGCGCTGGTATTGCTTCCCTCAAGACTGTGCCCTTTTTTTCAATAATAAGAGCAACTTTGCCCAATAAAATTTGAAATGCATTTTCCCACCTTTTTCTGTCACTCATTGAACTTGAATTATTTTAGAACACGCTTAGAACCAAACCTGTCGAAAGTAACGGGGGAACTGAGTAAAAATTGGTCGGAACTGAGACGAAAATTGAAAGTATACTACACATCTGCAGTTCAGATAACTGCACAGATTTTCACACAGTTATTTTCGACAGATAACTGCGCTGATAAACGGAAGGTGTGTACCCCCCTTAATGTTTGACTAATACAACTCATGTGTTTGATAATTGTGGTGTGTTTTGGGTCTTAAGATCCACCGATACTTGCATTTTTTCCATCAATAAATCTCAATTTTTTCACACCAGATTTTGCGATAACCAACAATCACGACTTTCAAAAATATTATACTTTGATTTGTCAGTAAGCAAAACCATAGATGAGAAATCGATTTCCTAAAACGATATTTTTGCGTAACGATTACAAGATGTCAGAAGAAATTAGTGGAGCACAAGGTCTACAATCAGAAGATAGAGAAATATCACCGGAAATGAAATAATAATAAAGAGTTGGACTCAAAGTGGATGAAAGAGATGTTATTGGCGATATTGAGATTTTTAGTTCAGAAAATAAAGTAAGTCATAAAATAAATCAAATTATTTAACTTTTGTAATTGATACAAATTAAAATTCTTAATAAAGTAAGTCGATGATTTGTAGAGGTGGTAATCGTCGTTGTGGATTTGCTGAAGACATTCAAAAAGAAGTCACATGTTCCACTCTCACCGATACACCCATACGCACCATCGAAGACACCTTCTTCGGTCGCCGTGTTTCGAATTTAACATCAATAACCCGTTGTACCTCGGTAGTGAACGTGTTGGTGGCTTGTGTAGTAAGACACAAACATCTTATAAAGTGCCATAGTGAAGGTATTTCAGAGGCGGTTTGAACGAGATGCCAACAGATTCTCGGTAAAACACATTTATTTTTTTAAATAATCATTTAAAATTTTAATACATTCAAATTAAATAGAATTCCACCCGGAAGTTAAGTACAGTTAGATTTCCTTCCATTTCGAATGTTAGGAGACCTTAGAAAGAATATTAAATAACCCAGTGACAGTACGGTTTATTAAAAGTGTGCTACTAGAACATGGGAATTAACTTAATTTAATTTCGATTCGTTTCACGTAATAAAACAAAATTTTAAATATTCACAACAAATTTTCAGTTCACTGTTTAAGTTTCAATCGTTAATGAAGACTCTTTATATGCACGTGAGTGAAACTCTTGCAACGTTTGATTGTTTCCTGTTTAAGCAAAGTACGTTCGTAACAGGACATCCTTAAAAAGTGTGAAATATCAAAGTTTTGTAACAACTTGATTGCAATTGCACTCTCAAAATCGATTCAATTTTATAATATTAAAATAAAATAATTTTAGATTAACTTAAGTTAGAGTTAAACCAAATTGATCCGTTTAAAGTGTAACTAAGACCAACTAACTACGTACTAACACTTGTTTTCTCACGTGTCCGTATGTGTTTAATTAAGACGATTAAGTTGCCCAATTGGCCCCAGAAGTCTGTAATTGACTAAACTCGATGTTTAAACTTTAGTTTAGACTTCCTAAGCTCGTTAACTCCACCCAAAATTAACGGTTACCATAATCACTACGATTGTTCAATCCATTAATTTCTTTTAAACAATTTAACGTGAGAATTTCAATTTATATTTCTAATCCATAACATTTTTAATTTAATTCAATTTATTTGAAGTGGTTTTAACCAGAAATGTTAAAGTGTGGTAATAAAACGCTTTGTAATTGGACGATTAGAGTTGGATTAGATGATTTTGTGTACTAGTTTTCGCTTTCGAAATGGACATTTCGTGATTTTCAATTCGGTTTTTTTTAACTCGTATTGTATTTAATTAAACCAAGTTAACGCTCTAATAATTTTCATAACTTACTCTTGTTGTTGGTAAAAGAGACATCATCAAATTCACCTTTCACATTTCTCCACGGCTGTGTTTTTTGGAGACTTCGTAATTTAAAACCGATACCGTTTTATTTTCTTTCGCTCTCTTTTCACTTTTTTTTATCTCACGTAACTCTTACTTGGTCCTCTGTTTATCGAAAGCGAATTTTACGTAACGACATCGTAAATGACGTTAAATAATGTGGTTAACGGCCTTATCGGATGCTGGAGAACCTTCTAATTTCGATTGGAGAAACTTAATTGGATGAATTATCGTTTTGGGTTGGGGAAAAAATGTATAAAAATTCTTAGCCAATTCAATATATTAATTTTGAATACGATTTTGTAAGAAAATCGAAGGTTAACGCACACGCCTAATGATTAAAGTAACTCGAAGAAATTTTAAATTGACTGAGATCGTTTCGAAATTTCTTAAAACAATCTAATATAAACCCACACGAGTATAAATACTATAGTCTATTAAAGCATTAAAGGATAACGGGCTTTAGATTTCAAACGTTACGAAACGCAAAATCACCAGGTTCGCAATTTATAATCGTTTTAGATGCGTGTCGAGATTATTTTTTCTCAAAGTAAACAACACACCACACGGGTTTGTTTGATAGTGCTGGAAGAAAATGGAACGCGTTTGAAATGCCACACCTTTCAAAAAAAGCTAAGAAAAATGTTTATAGAAAATTATAGGCACCCAAGAATTTAATAATAATCGATTAAGAAATAGTTGATTTATGATTTTTTTTAATATAAAATTAATCTTTTTGGTTCGTAAATTCGATTAAGAAAATGTTTAAGTATTAATGTATTGAGAAATGTTTCAGTAAAAATGATTTCTAAAGGTTAAATAACTTAACGTTAAGAAAATTAATGGTTGTTCATTCAAACGCACAATATTAAATTAAATAATTTAGAAATTGTTATGAAATTTATTGAAACTAAATTTAACCATATTCAACTTTTTTTTGTTAATATGCGTCTCTATAAGATGATAAGAATTTGGTGTTCTGCACCGTTGAAAATACAAATTAGATAATCCATTGATTAGTAGGACGAGTTGCTAATCATTGAGGAAGTTCTAAAAATCATCACAATGCTGAAAACTCAACCCAAGTCGATCTTTTGAAATGGTATAAGATCCATTTTATCTTATCACATTTTATCTCATTTCATCTCAACGCTGCTCATCTCAACTATTCTCATCTCATTTCAATTCAACTATTCCCATTTCATCGCATCATATCTTCTCACCTCATCATTTCATCTCATTTTATCTCATCGTCCCTTATTTCATATCATCCCTCTTTTCATCTCATGTCCTTGGCCTGTCTCCTCCAACTCCTACTCCCGACCATGTCTCTAGCGTCCTAGTCTACTACTTCCTCCACTCTCAATCTCGTATCTTAGGCGTTGGAGTCTGACGAACTGTGCCAGAGGCGGATCTTTATAAATCTCATACAACTCGCGATTGTATCTTAATCTCCATCCATCCTCCTCCTGAAGTGGTCTAAATATTCTCCTCAAGATTCTGCTCTCGAAGAAATTCACGGTTTCCGCCGACTTTTGCGTCAGCGTCCATGTCTCACTCCCATAGCTTATCCATGATTGATTTGTATATACGCAGTTTGGTTTCTCGGTGGATATCTCTAGATCTGAATATGGGGGTCAATGCAGAATACGCTCTATTGGCTAGGACTGCTCTTCTTCCTCTGTAATACGCCCAGATAATACTACCCCAAGGTATATAAAGTGAAGCAGTATCGCTGTCTCGATACAGATGTTTTTCCTGTAACTTTGACTTCTCCGTGTTGATCCTAACCCCACAGCTTCAGCACCATCCTTCAGCTTTCCATACTCCTAATCTGCCGCGCTTAGTGTTCGGTTTATTATGTTTATTATGTTTTCTATGGAATTCTATACGGTTGAGNTCGGTTGGCCCTGTATCAACGTTGCTCTGAACAAGTCTTATCAACTTTGCTGGGATTTCAAAGTGTTCCATGATCTTGAACAGCTGTTGTCTATTAATGGAATCGTAAGCTTGCCTAAAGTCTACAAATATATTATACACATCGACATCATATTTCTTTTATCTTTTCACTTCATCTTAATTAATATCATGGTCTTTCATCTTATCTCATCTCATTTCAACTCAACTATTCCCATTTTATCGCATCATATCTTCTCACCTCATCATTTCATCTTATTTTATCTCATCGTCCCTTATTTCATATCATCCCTGTTTTCATCTCATGTCCTTGGCCTGTCTCCTCCAACTCCTACTCCCGACCATGTCTCTAGCGTCCTAGTCTACTGCTTCCTCCACTCTCAATCTCGTATCTTAGGCGTTGGAGTCTGACGAACTGTGCCAGAGGCAGGTCTTTATAAATCTCATACAACTCGCGATTGTATCTTAATCTCCATCCATCCTCCTCCTGAAGTTGCCCAAATATTCTCCTCAAGATCCTTCTTTCGAAGAAATTCACGGTTTCCGCCGACTTTTGCGTCAGCGTCCATGTCTCACTCCCATAGCTTACAATCCATGATTGATTTGTATATACGCAGTTTGGTTTCTCGGTGGATATCTCTAGATCTGAATATGGGGGTCAATGCAGAATACGCTCTATTGGCTAGGACTGCTCTTCTTCCTCTGTAATACGCCCAGATAATACTACCCCAAGGTATATAAAGTGAAGCAGTATCGCTGTCTCGATACAGATGTTTTTCCTGTAACTTTGACTTCTCCGTGTTGATCCTAACCCCACAGCTTCAGCACCATCCTTCAGCTTTCCATACTCCTAATCTGCCGCGCTTAGTGTTCGGTTTATTATGTTTATTATGTTTTCTATGGAATTCTATACGGTTGAGGATTTTTGATACACTTATAACCGTTCTTATACAGTGGTGTCTTTTTCAGATAGATAGGCGCTGTCACTGCCTTTCGTGGTAGTTCCAACTAGTAAGTTGGAGTTATGCAGTTTAACTTTGGGAGATCTTGCCATGATAGGCTTGGTAGGTTTTGTTAAAGGCTAAGCAAAACAAATACAAAACATATAGTATCAAATGTCTTCATTGTTAGTTTCTTAAATTACATTATTTTATTTTCTATACATAACGATCCTTGTCGTCGAAGATCACTATCGGAATCGTCGTTGTTATTACAAATCTCAAGATTAGTATCTATTTCCAAAAAATCGTCAACGGTGTTGATTTGTTGAAGTGATTGACTATATGTGACTATATAAGTGTGACTATATCATCACGTGGAGTAACTTTTCTTCAAACAATGTTTTGATCTTTGAAGCCACAATGACTTAAACATTTGCTTATATACTCACCAGCACTAAATTCTAATAAAATGCTCCAACTGTTCTTCAACAGCACTTTTACTTTCAGTTTTCATTTTCAGTTCCCGACATTGACTAGTTTATTGGTGTACCGTATGACTGTTGTGATTCTTTTTTGTAACATAATAAACCATCAGGTGTTGCACGAATCATCTGAATTGTATAGATTTGGTAACTCCGGAATGTTTTCACATTTCTATTTTTAAGGGTATACATTTGTTGCGTATCTGCGTATCGTGTTATCGTTGCGTATCAGTGTATACAGGGAAATATACACACTGATACGCAAGATATACAACTAGTCCTACAGCCTATTTGTCAGTATTTCGCTGTGATATCAAAGAAACGATACGATATGGTGGCCAGTCGAAAGCTTGCCAGAAATAGAGAAGCACCAACAGAGAGAAAACAGTACGGATAGAATATCTGAAAAATACATCTGAAACTACGAAACGTCTTAAGCCACCAGCAACCTCCAGAAGTATTCAGAGAGAAACTGAGAACGACAGACAACTGTCCCTACAAGGTTTTTGAAATATAAACGTTGTCAACAAACACGCTAATAGACAATAGCTATCACTTTGGCAGTTTAGTGACATAAAATAACAACAAAGAAAACATTTTACCAGGCCGTG